AGAGGTTTATTTTGTTTGTTTTAATTAATTTGCTTTCTTTGTTCCAGCTCTTCTATAGGTTTTTCATAATTACTATTTTGAGAAAGAAAATTTTAACTTTGTTTCAATTTCTCTTCCTCTATCTCAATCGTACATCACAGAAAATTTAAATAGTAATATCTTGTCAAGGATTACCTTTTACCTGAATCAGCAGTGGAAGTCGAATGGAGAGACTTCAGTTTTAAAACAAAGGGATTTTTCACCTCGATCATTTGCTTTGAGGGAATTTCTCTTCGTGGAAGATTCAAATTAAACATGGCCTCTCTTTCCATGACGCCAAGACTAACAATAAACCGAGCTAAAAGGAGAAAGCATCCCACTATAATGAGAGCGGAGAATAAACTTAACCAGTCCGCCATTTTGATCGCCGGCGCCGAGTTCTAGTACACTATAGGAATCATATATGAACTACCTACCAAAACAGGTGATTGCCAGGTAGGTGATTACGTTGTGTAATACGAAGCTATTTGAAGAGTCGACTCTGAACGTAACCACTCGTTGTGAAAATGGCCGATAGTTCTAGCCCTAAAATTGCCAAAAGGTTGGGATCCGTTATAAAGTTGAAGCCAGAATTGTATGAAAAATATAAGGAGCTTCATGCCGCTGTGTGGCCAGAGGTGAAAATACGTCCTTTGGCTATTTGTAATTGTAAGTTCACAAAAATTTCCAGTCTTAATAATTAACAAGGTGACCATTTGTCTTTTTTCAGGTGCTTAAGAGAATTTATGACAGCAATATACGAAACTATACAATTTACTACGATAAATACCATCACTTGTTGTTTTCTCATATGGAATACGTAGGTAAGTGTTTGAAATTATCAGTCAATCAATCAACCGACCAATCAATAAATAGATAATTTAAGTCAGTCAATCAATTAATCAATCGATTAATTAATCAATCGATTAATTAATCAATCAATTAATCAATCAATCAGCTCATATTTCTGTCACCCAACTTTTCAATCAGTACTTGTATCCACATCCTTAAACTCTGTTGTCCAGACAAGGTTTAAGTCTTTAAAGTAAAGACCGCATGACTTGATGTCTGTTCTGTGTATTTAACACTCAAGTAAGGTAATGGCTCAGTTAATTCCAAGTATGCCCATCCCCCCGGGCTCCCCTACCTGGGGGTGGGGTATTTGTCAATTCTTCTAGAAGCCATTAACGTTGTTCCTTTTTCAATATTCACTAAAAATATACCTATGTTAGATAACTTTCTAAAGAATATTTTGAATACCTATGTTTTAAAAAGGTATATGTGGTGTTTGCTCTGTTGCTTCCCTACCCAACAGTATTTTTTCCATCTGTCTAAGAAACTGCCTCCCGCCATTGTGATCAGCTCACACATGGAGGAAAAACAATCAATGTTTTGTTTGTTAATCATTCGAAAATAAGAAAGTTGTTATTAAAATTCAAACTTATAGCTCTGTCATTGAGGTTAATCAGTTCAATGTGGTCTTTTTTGCAATAATTATAACTAGTGGCTTGGAGTGATTTGCATAGGGTGCTTCATAATGATAAATGGCCGACAAATGCTCATGGGGAAGGGCATGGGGGGGGGGTGTGGATGGTCGTTCTTGGAATTGACTGGGCCTTAAAAGGTAAGGTAATAGTGCACACAAGCCAAAGGCTCAAATGGCCAGCTAGACTTGCTCACAAGTTGAGCTTTTGAGCACGTAGCGCGACTGTGAGCGCGAAGCGCGAGCGAGCGAAAGCTCGACTTGTTTCCCTTGCAGCGAATCACATCAAGTGACGTCATTTTGGCGCGAACTTCTCATGATGCTGCATGCAGCGCTGCCTGTCAAACTGTCAAAATACTTTTCGCACCTAGCGAAATCGATCAATGGTTTGGTTTTAAATGGAATGGAGGAGGAAAACACACCAACTAAAACTTTTATTCGGGTTGTTGTGCCGGAAGACATTTGCCTTCAATGTGGCAAACTGATAGACAATCCAGCGTTATGAAGAAAGCTATTTTCAGGGAAACAGAAGACAAAAACGTGTCAAAGTCTGGAGCTTCTTCTTGGAGATGTGTTTCCGCGAGACAACGACTTGGGAACTATTTGCCGAAACTGCTCGGAACGCAACGAAACGCTGACAAAGAAAATTTTTCAAGTTAGGGCTAACTTTTCTGGACCAAAAGAAAGTCTAGGAAATAATTTGCAAATTTGCATCTTAGAACGAGCCGTAACACAATAGATGCTTTTGTTATTTTAAATGATATGTAAATTTTCAGGTGACCTTGTATTCTGTAGTCTTGCAAATGTATATCGCAAACAATAACGAATCAATCGCTCACCATTTTGCAATGCAGTGACTTTCATCGACAAAAACAGCCTTAAGGTTTTTCCTGAGTTTGCCGTGAAAAATACTTCGGTGGCTATTTAAGAGAGCTTCGGGGCTTCCAAATACCAGCGAGTATTCTCCTTCCGAAATTTCTTTTACTTGTTCCCTCGTGCAGTCTGCTCCAACTGAAGCAGCCGATACCCCTCGGGCAACTAAAGAGGTAACTTCGTCCTTCATAAGGGCGACCAGTGGCACAACAACTAAGCAGACAGAACACACTTCCAGTCTTTCGCCGTGCTCTAAATAGTCGAAAACATAGGGAGCAACTTCGAAAGTCAAGCTTTTTCCTGATCCTGTTGGCGCCGAAAGAAATACGTCTTTTCCACTGCAGTAACCCTCGATTACTTTCCTTTGATGTTCACGAACATCTTTGTACTGTGCTTTTCGCAACCCATAAGCGATTGCGTCCTTGACTGAACGCATCGTACAACCAGCTGAAAATTTAAGTTTTAGTAAAAGCCTCTACATAAACAAACAGCGAAGAAAAACANAGTGAGTGTGATAGTGGAAATGTTGAAATTGTTGAAAATCTCTGCATGACAGTAAAAATATTCGATTATACTTTCATTTTATTGGTCAATCATTCAGACAATCAATCAACCAATTTTTCAATCAATCAGTCAACTATTAAGCAAAATACAGTCAAACCTCCTGTAAGTGACCACTCAAAATGCTACAGCTAGTGACGTATGGGAGGTGGTCACTTGCAACACTCGAAAAACAAGGGGTCTCTTAAGGCTAGTATCTCCGATGAATTACACATACAATATCACGCATAAAAAACTTATTAACATAAAAACACAAACTGGTGGTAATAGTAAACATCTAATTATGAAACTATGGGAAAAAATTAAACATCTAAATTCCTTCATACTAGTGGCTCTCCTAAAAGAATCAGGAAGCAAGTTCCAATATCTTGCTGTGGCATATCTAAGTAAGACCATTGTAGTTGTTTTGGGTTTTGGCAAGACTAGCACATTCATACCTCTTGAGCTATAGTCAGACGTTCTAAACTGAAACTCTTTAACTATGATAGTTGGTAAAGTTGATGCATTTGTGATGATCTTTTATCTTAGGAGATGACCTTGACAAAGATATGGCAGCTATAGGAAATGACCCTGTGACCAGGGATTGGTGGAAGGTTTGCGAACCTTGTCAGGAGTCGTTAGAATGGACAGGTCCTCCACCAAGTGAGGGTGGACAGGGGGGTAACTGGTGGGCACCCATAGAAGAAGTGTTCCACGATGGCCATCCTGCAACACAGTATAAAGAAAATTAGTCATAATAAGTGTCAATAATCTTATTAAATGAAATAAAAATAACAACAGCAAAAGTAGACGGTAAAAGTAGACAGCAAAGTAGCCTGAGTCACTTATTTCACAGTAAAGCTGTCATTAAGGGCTGTAACCCGTAACACCTGTTACGGCTGAGGTCACTTGATGTTGAGGGTGATGAAAGTGGAAAGCTAAAGGTGGCACTATAAATTTTTGTGAGATGTTGTAAGTGTTTCTTCATTGCTTATGAAACCAGACCTTGTAAAGTGAGATTGGAAGGAATCAGAAAGTGAATCAATGTAGTTCTGGTTTAGAGACAGTGGACTATGTAAATGTTGATTAACTTTTACAAATGAACTATTTCAAACAAGATAAACAAAATAAAGATCATGTAGTGATCTTGTCTGCAAAGTCTTTATTAACATTGTGTAGTGCGTGCTATTACAAACAACTAAAAGCCAGAGATGTAAATGTAAAGAAATGAAAAAAATAAAAAAAATAAAGTAAGCACAGCAGACTTGCCAACCCCCAAAAGACAAAAAATGTTAGACTCTGAACCTGGAGCTGGAAAAAGTATTGAGAAATGGGTAAAAAGTCGTGACATTTCCCAAATTTCCCATTGGAAGGACTCTCAGTGGCTATTGGAAGTCACATATCACAGGGGCAGGGCAGATCCAGGATTTTTCCTAGGAGGGGGTGCACCACTTAAAAGAACTACCATTTTTATGGTGTTTAACATAAATTCTTCAACCTCACCTCATGTTTTACTTCAACACCAATAAACCACAAAGTTTTTTTTTGCTGAATACCAGTTCTATTAGAAAGCTGCAGGTCATCTCAGGGAGGAGAGTGCACACCTCCTGCACACTCCCCCTAGATCCCCCCCTGTATCATGTTTTTAAAGCTGTGGCAGTAAACATCATGATCAATTTTACAAGTTAGGCTTTGTAATGTTTTTCTGTGTTTTGTTGGAGGCCACCTTGAGAGAAACAGCTTTACATTTGGTGGCAGTGGCAAGTTGTGTAGGTTGGAAGAATGTAATCATAGGCGACCGCTAAGCGTTTTCTTTGGATTGAGCTGGCTATCTGTTGATATCTATTGGAAATGAGCCCTGCAACTCCAAAATGTCTTGGAGGTTGACTTTTCAAGAAAGCGTGAGAAATCATTTGCCAACTCGTAAGAGCGTGAGATGGGTTGTGAAATCGTGAGACTCACGACAAAGCCATGAGACTTGATACGTCTGGCATATTGTCACTACTCTACTGAGCAATGAGTGGAAACTCCTGCAGGGTTAGTTGGGAGCAATTAATTTTGTGCTGCTACTCGTGAGATTTTACACAATATTGGCTTTGAGGAGGCAAAGGAGTTATCCCAAATATCGGTAATTTTGTGTCTTTTTTACAACAACATAAAGTAAAAATTGAACCCTTTTCCATTAATATGCCTTTTTTCTATTCATAAGCTTATATTCTCTTGTTTGTAACTTTCTTTTCCAATTCTCCTTTTTCAGGACACACTTACCCCCCTCAAAATGTATGTTCTGTAGGTGTATTATAATAAGTGAGAGTGTCACTACCCTACTCTGCAATGAATGGAAAATGCTGCAGGGTTGGTCAGGAGCAATACTGGGGCGTGGCATTTGGCCCCTCTTTCCTTCCCACTGCCTAGCATTAATGGAAGGCTCTTGGCGCCCAGAAATTTACTATCTAAGACAATGCCTGGGGGTCTGGGAGGGGGCATGGGCACAGCAGATGCATAAAGGAAAGCTGAATAAATTAATCCCATTTGGATTGTGGTTGGTTCCCTATGCCACAATAATTTTTTTAGAGCCAACATGGATGTTCTGAGCTAGGGCAAGGTGAAAAAAAAAAATACCCTTTTGTCGTGCATACTGGAAGAAACAAGAGAGGTCAATTTTAATTTGGAGGCAAGAAGGAGACGAACGAACTCCTTACCCTTCCCCGCCCCCCGACATCCCCCTCCGCCCCTCTCCTCTAGAAAGAGGCTTCTTGCTTGTCAGCGGTGTCTCAGTGAGAGACAAAAAATGGCGGGTCGTGTTCTTGATGTGTTGGACGTTTGTCCTCAACTTGTGCCTCAGGACAGAACAAAACGATTCTATGACGGTTATATCACAGTTTGTGTAAGTTACTATTTTGTCAATAAGTGAAGAAAGAATGTTTTGCGAGAAAAAGAATGCAAGGTTGTGTTGAAGTCTTTGTAAATAATCTTGTACGATCCTCGCAGAAAAAGAACTTCCGAATTTGCATCCAAATTCCGGACCACAAGTCCATGGAAAATGCCAGGTAGGATAAATGTTAAATGTTTCTAGTCTTCTCGGAAATGATGGAAACTGTAAGCGCCGTCTCAAAGTATTTTCATAGGTCCAACTCCACTCTGATGGCTTGGACGTGAGGGACCCCCCGGGTATCAGGTCGTTTCGCCCCAGGGGCTGTACTCCAGATTTCAAGTGTCGGGGATGATCGAAAGGGAACAAAAATCGAAACCAAAATAAATCCCTAGGCCAAATTAACCCCCCCAAAATCCCTGGTCCAAATTTCTGAGCCTTAAAAACTGCAGCCGCAAACCAAGTGTGGTTTTACTTTACTCGCAGAATTATGCGGCCGGGATATGGGGGCACTTCTACAAATCTTCAGATTGTTCTGAATACCCAAAATATCCCCACTTAAATCAGTCCATCTCAAAAAAATACTTGCCAAATTTTCCTATCCCAAAAAATCCCAGAATCAAAAATTTCAAACCCAAAAAATCCCTCGACAGGAGCCCATGCACTTGTGAAATCCAAGCTTACCTAAAATAACATGTCTGATAAGCAGTTTTGCTGTGTTGTGGGGTGTTCTATGTCATTCGGCATATTGTCTGGGGGGTGGGGGGGGACTCCCGAATGAAAGAGGCAGGAGGCCCACTTAGTTGGGGGTGGGAGGCAACGTATATCCCTAGTCTGAATTTCAAAACCTGTCATATTGGAGAAAGAAGTAAAATCCTTAGGTATTTTATATTTTGCTTCATCACTGTTGCAGTTTCAACTCATCTTGTGTCATTGGTGGCTATTTTAATCTGTCTTTTGTCAACATTTCAAGGCCATGTCCCTTGTTAAAAAATTGCCTTATAGCAGGTTAGTCCCTTGTCAGAATTGGGTCATAACAGAGCCTCAGACAAGGATGCCTGTCATCTTGCTTGGAGGAGTAAATTGCAGATTGTGGTCTTAACTAAGAGTGTTTAAGATGGAAAGAACATCTTTTGGGCAATAATTTTCTGGGTCACTACAGCTTTTTATTGGGTCCAGGAATTCATTGGTTACCTATTTTAAGTATAGCCTCTTTTGGGGGATTTGGGACACACTTCCTTTTTAAGACCAAAGTTAAAAACTTTTCTCTTTGACAAATTTATTTAGAGCAATTTATCTAACCAAGCAAAGACAGAAAGACCTTCAGGATAAAATTGCCCATGTTGTGGAAGAACTTAAAAAGACGTAGTCCTTGAATTTTTTGTTCATAAAAGGATATGAACCCTGTCTTTAGTATATAAGTTTTTTTTTTATATTAGATTTAATTTTTGTGAAACACCTTGAGTAACTAGTGGATGTATTGGACAGCTATGTGAAAGCATTATTATCATAAGTATCATTGTCATCATCATCATCATTATTATTGTTGTCATTATTATTACCATTACTATTATGATTAAGTCTGATAATATGAGTTTAAGTATCCTTGTACTTTTCGTTTGTTTTTTGATTGGATAGAGTGTCCCCCCCCCCCAGGGATGTAACAATCTGTGACAGTAACAATGACCTTTAGTGTTTATTTTTCCTGGGTAGTGGGACTGGGTAGAAGGGTACTTCCCTTGGGACATAAGTCCCATCTGTGCCCATCCCAGTTGGACAGGTCTGCTGCCAGTGCCGGGCTGAATTGAATAGTCAGTTGAAAAAATAATTAGAGGAATGAAACTTTTTAATGGTTGGCATTTTATACTGTTGTGATTAAATTTTGTTGCAAATTGTTTCTTCAGAATTGAGTGTGGATGGAAACTGAGGCACCTGCTGAGGGGATATGAAGGGGTAATAAAACAGGTATAACTTGTTAGAACAAAATAATATTAACGACTAAAAGCTAGTACTTCTCATCTCTGTGGTGTTGCTTATATTTTATGAAAAAGACAACGTTATTATAGAGATTCAGAATCATAGTGAGGAGAAATTGGAGAATACAATATTAGATTTGTGTTGATGAAATAATTCTGGTATAAACCGACTTTTGTCTTTCTTAGCACCTTCACGTGCCACATGAGTCTAGTGTATAGTACTATGTAAAACAACAGTTGGGTTTTGTGTGACATTTGACTTAATTCACTCCAGGTGGAAATGATAAGGTTTATGAACTTTGCATGAGCTTTTCTCTTTGATTCTTTCTTTATAGAGGCTAGCACAAAGTAGGGATTTGCCATCATTTCTAGTAGAGCTCAAGAGTATTCTGGTATGTGGTCCACTAATGTCATTCTCTTCCATAACAAAAGTTATGGGAAAGTCAAGTCAGCCCTTGTTTTTTAACTAGTTATCCAGAATGTTAATTTAAGTAGTATCAATGTTATTTGAAACTTATGTGTCCCTCTGCCATTAGAGATAACTAAAAGGACAACCTTTATTTCCTAAATCCTGGGACTAACTACTAAATTACATCCCCATGGCTCCTTGTAATGTGTTAGACATGCTAATGATATATGAAAATTAATGTTAATCTTTTCCTCCCCTTTTCTGCAGTGACAAATTGACAAAGTGACAAATTTTCACTGATGGGAGCATAAGTCATCTTAGTTAACAGGGTACCCTTGAGGTGGATAAACATTTCATCCAGGGTGGGGGAGGGGGGTACAGTTTTCAAACACATCTTTCGTTTTTCTATTTCCAATCGTTAGGAGAAGCTCCTGAAATGTCAGAGGTCAGAAAAAGTTGGCTCTGGACCAAAGTTTTACACACATTTGGTGACAGAGCTAGAAGCCATTGGTTGGGACAAGTGAGTACAAAGTGAAATTAGTTAATAATGTTTTTTTGTTCAGTTTTGTTATACTGGAATTTTGTTTTTATAAAAGAAAGTTTGTTCTTTTACTTTAAGCAGAGCACCTTTGTTCTTGCTGTGGCTCTTAAAAGAAGACATAGTGGTGTGAACACGAGCTACATAGTTACAATAGTGTATTATTGGCTCTCTTACGTGTTAACTATTCCTGACAGCATGTCAGATAATAATTATCTTGAGTTAGTCCTCAATGAAAAGCATCAAACTCAACAAACAGACACAATCTATTTTCTTTGCTTAGATTGGCTTTTGTCGATCCATCTTTTGAAGTTTTGAAATTTGCTGCCAGGTAGGTAATGTGATTTCCTCTGCAGTGGGTTTTGCCATAAGTGGAATTTATATTCCTTGTGATATTGAGACTGAGTCTATTAAGATGCTGTTTGTGTTTGTTAACTGAAATTTATGTTAATTTTTATTATATCGGAAATGAGAGTTGTGCCAATCATTGATTTGAGTAAAAGAGATGCAGTCATTGATTTTGAAAAGTATTCAATCAATTACCTGAGAGAAATAAAACAAATATTATTATTGTTGACAAACAAGACTCCTAAAATTTGTCTTGTCTATTTTAATAAATTATGGATTTATATATTTGCAGGTGTAATCCATTGATAAGTCTATGTTTTTTTATCATGATCTAAAACAAGGTACAATGGCCCTGTTTAACTATTTGAATTCCAATGATCAATTATGTAATGGCAGCTGATTTCCATCACTACCAGCTCTAAACAGTTAGTATTGTGAGGCGACTCAGTATTTTGGTGGTGTATCTCACTAATTTATTACAGTGCTATGTATACTGTAAGTTAATGTTAGAAACAGTTTAGCTCAGCAACACTTTGTGACAAACATGCTTTTATTTAGTTTGTCTTTGCTGTTGTTGTATGGTAGTAACCAGCAATGTGTCATTATTCTTACAGAGATAACAGAGATAGAGAGCATTTCATCACTGTGCACCTCTCATCTCAGGTGATGTGATAATCTTTATCTACTCCCAGTACACTAAAAAAAAAATTTTTTCGCAAGACTTTATTGTCTGAACACTCAAACTGGAACACTTGGAAGAACATTGCCCAATCACAATGTTTTCTGACAACAAAGGATTCACAAGTTTTTTTGCCAATGAACCAATAAAATTCAAGGTTCAACTATGCAACTGTTGAAAACTTTAAAGCCACTTGAACTTACCTAACCACTCGGGAAACAGTCCTCAAATTTATGAATGTTTTTGGCCTGTTTGCAAAACACTTGAGAATCTTTTGTTTTCACAAAAGGCTGTGATTAGCCAATCTTCTTCCAAGCGTCCCAGTTTGAGTGTCCGCACTGTAACCCATAATATTGTTACTAACAATAATGTTCTAGTGGAATACAGAGAATCAAAGTTATGCATGTGACTAATATCGGCTCCCATTTTTGTTACCTCTCTTTCTTTCAAAATCTGTAGCATTTATTTAAAATGACATTGTCTATCATTTTGTGTTCTAACAAAGTTATGCCTATTTGTGGTTTACAAATCTCTCATTCTCTGCTGGCTCTTTACTCATTTAGACATTAAAATAATATTTTATTCTGACTTTTATTATCTCTTTTTCTCCAAAATGCATTAGTCAAGTTCTACTTTGAATTAAACTTCTCTAATATACTGTCAAGTAACTGCTGTGTTCGCTCTAGATTTCCACCATCATATTTTACCAACACTTAACTTCTCATTAGCTGTAATTAACAAGAAATTAGTTTTAAACCACAGGCCATGCATCAGGAAAATTATGTAGAAACAAAATTATTTTAAGTCTTGACACGAATAATATTAATTTATTATTATTATTACTATTATTATTATAATCATAACTATAACAAAATTCTTAAATCTGATTGGCTATCAACTGCCCTGATTTCAGCCTTAATAAGACAGTTAAATAGGACAGTACACGTCATGCCTAAGTAATTGGACAGTACGCGCCATCACGCGCGCGCTTAAATCGCTTTTTTTTTCACTGCTAGCAAAAAAAATAAAAAAAAGAGCCTAATATATCACAAATTTTGTTAAAGCTATGATTAATTGGTAACAGAACTTTGTGTCATCCAATTCGGTCTGTAATCATACTCATGATTAAACAAATTTTGTTAATCACTTGTATGATTACAGACCGAATTGGACCCCACTCAGTCCTGTTACCATTACTTGTTATTACATTGCTGTTGTGAATTGTTTTTAGCATCCTCAAGTAGCACCAACTTGTACTACAGAACTACCAGGGCAGCACTTCAGCTTCTCTTGGAATTCACAGGTAACTAAATCGACAGGAGTATAGTGCTCTCACTTACATGTACACTTTAATTTAAAGTAGAAGGGAAGTGACAAATTTAATAAGAGGATAGCAAAGGATTTATGCATGATGCATGATTAGGCCCATATTTAGCGTTTGACACATGAAATTTTCCATAATACAAACATGATCTGTGAAACCACTGATAGATGTGAAGCATGATTTATCTTGCAAGATATCTGAGACTCGTGAATTATGTGTCCCATTTTGTCAGAATCAATAGTATAGGACAATAATATTATACAGATTGAATAATATTGTCGGTTGTATTCTTTGCATTACGTTTTTGTCCTGGTTAATAATTACCAAAGAACTAGAACCCAAAAACCACGTGCCGTCATCTCTGACGTCTTTGAATGAGCAATCGTTCAAGTCTGGTCCATGATGACGGCGATTTCAGTTTGTAGCCAGTCTTTGATTAACAGGTGGGAGAGGTTGATGACTAAATTCATGACCCATGAAAATTGGTTTATAGAGCACGTGATATGTGAAATTTGTCAAAATTTGCATGTGACACAGGCCCATGACCACCCCCCGTCCCCCCTTGCTACCCTAAATTAAAGTAGCTGAGGTTCTTAACCTTTTTTGATGTAGTTCATCTATTGTCTTTTTCCTTCTATGAAAGTAGCTGGGCCTCAGTTTCAAATATTCAATCCCATTTATTTATCAGTTACTGTAACATTTTAATTCTGATTCTCAGCTCTTCTTTTGGAGATAATCATCATTGTTTTCCCATTTCCATTGCACCAAAATCCTGAGAAAAAGCCAGGATTTATAATACTGTTTCTGCTTTCTTTTCCTGGAGTACGCAACCAGTTTAAGCGAAAGTAAACAATTTGATTGGAGAATTCTCAGTTTACTAGGCTAAATAATCCGGCTAGCGTTTGATAGCTTATGACTACTTTTTATTCAGACATGGATCCTTTTTCAAAATACTCTCCTGTAATGTTACACCTTTCTCCTGCTACTAGAATTCTTAATGAAACCCTTGGTTATTTCCTTTTCTTTTGTTAGAGCCATCCTCTTGAACAATTGTATCAACAATTCCAACAGGTAATATAAAAATAGTGTTTCTCTGGCCCAGGCTCATTATATTCTAATAAATTGTTTGACAATGTTAGGCTGGGAATATTCTATTCCTCAATGTTATTCTCAGATTAGCCAGCTATTGTACATTATAAATTTTCCATACACAAAATATTATGTTCTTTTTAAAATCTCAGCATTGGGTTTGTACTTAAATATATTTCTAAAATTTTGCAAATTTTAGCCTCAATTAAAAACATAATTTTTATACAAAAAGGTAGTGTATCTCAGCGATTTTCTACCATGAATTTCTTGCTAGCCACAGTATCTTCAATTTTCATGTGTGCAGGCTATAATAATACATCAGTTTTCTTTTTTAAATCAAAAGGTGCTTTGTCAGTTTGAGAATTTTTGGGACATGTTAGATGAAATAGACTGTAACACCTGGGTTCTAGAACCTGATCACCCATCACGATCCTGCACAAATAGAAGAATTGCTCTTGGTAAGTCCTAGAAAGGAACAAGCACCAATAATAAAAATAATACAGTTGACTCCTGATAACTGGAACCCTTACTAACTCAAACCTCGCGCTAACTCAAACCAAAGTCGATTTCCCCTGGATTTCCTTTTTTGATGTACTGTAATTTTACCCTCGGTAACTCGAACCCTTGATAACTCGAACCTCCCGCTAACTCAAAGTAATTTTTGTTCCCCTTCAGCTCATTTCTATACAATTTTACCCTCGATAACTTGAACTATGTTATAAGTACCCGACAAGTCGAGGAAAAAACGGTGTACCAAAGTCCAAAACATTGAAAAATCAATTTAATTATTTCAAAACAACCGAGTAAAGTCTTTGCCTTTACTTTTTTGTCACTCTAGTTCAAATTCAGTGTCCATTCCTCTATACTTTGTTGCAATGGCGCAATGATGATGATCGTAGAAATTGACTCGCTAGCTTTTCCTTTGATTATGCTCATTATTCGTGGAAAGAGTTGAAAAATGAAGGGTCCCCCGGAGCCTGTTGGTAGAATCGCGAAAAAGTCTTAGTCTCGGCGAATAGATTCAAGCAAATTTTCGGCTCTTCACGAAAAGATTCCACATACAGGAAATGCTCGATTGCATTGTTTATAGTAGCTTCGACGTCCGCGTGATTCACTAACCAGATGTCTGTCTGTCTCCCGCCATATCCCATTCCTCATCAATGTCACCAGTGCTCAAGTGTTAACAGAAGGTGTCCTAATCGACCAATAAGAGGGTATACTGGAATCCAGTATACCGGAGCGACCCTTTGTTAAGAATGTTAACAGGCATTCTTCCGCTCTCCCCCCCTCCATTTCACTGGTGTACAATTTCTTACTCCCCTACTATGTGAACGCTTGGAACAGGCTATCCCCTCTCCTCCAAAACCCACCTTTCAAAACAATTTCATAACAGCTCCTAAGTGCCTTGCAGGTAAACAATTATTACATTTTGACAGGAATTGTCTTGTTAAATTAATTTTGTTACATTAATTTCATCTTTTACCATAATAACACATTATGGCCCTGACTGCAGGCCTGTATAATGTTGTGGTACAGCATTGCCAGTACCCTGCATGCAGAGGTTTCTTTCTGGCATGGCTTTTAACATTTGGAAAAATCGTTTGCATGGCTTGTCAGTTTAGTTAGTTTAGGTGACTGACAGCGACGTGATGGACTTTGTAACGGTGATTCTGGTCACAAAGGCCTTGGGACTGGCTCATGTGCCACTCCACACAGTCAAGTAATCTATGAGTTTTCTTTTTCCATGTTCAGGCAACAATGCCTCCATTCAAATAGATCTGAATCCTACAAACCCCAGACTTCTACCAGAGTGCAGATTTTTAGGAGCTGACAATGGTATTTGAAAAATGATTCATGAATTTTTAGATTCTTTTTATAATCTCAGAACCAGGCTGTTACTCAGGGCTGCTGGAGGCTGGGAATTTCTCCTCGCTTCTATGATTGAACATTCCATGAACATGATCATTGTAAACAAAGGGAAAATAGATTGAACCAGGAGCAACCAATGACTGTTTTCTGTGAAAATATATGTTTGGAGAAGCGAATATTACCTAGAAGTTTCTATGACTTGAAGGCGGCTAAAATTCCTAGATGAGCGTTCCACTCATGTACAATTTTCGAAGCGTATCTAATAAATATATCTAATAAGTTTAATTTTCACATTTCACTTCCCAAGTTAGGCTATTAATTTTGTCGTAGAGAAAAGGAAAGTAACATAAAATTTTTGGACTCAAAAATGCAATGGAGAGAGAATTCGGAAAATGTCTCACTTTCATAATACGTCAAATTGCATCTAAAATTTTCGGAAAAATAATACTGAAGCCCTTGTAATTTTGTAAAGACTCAAGTTCCCCTAGGATGACCAAAGAGATACAAGTTTTATAGCACCGCTTAGATTGCATTGCTAGACTTCTAAAAGTACTCTGGATAGCCTAAGTGTTATCAATGTATTTAGGACGAAACTAAAAGAACGTCCAATCTGTTCAATTACCCATCTATATTTTATTGCATAGGTATACCTTCCAACTTGAAATCTTAGTGACAACTCTGCTCAAAGCATAATTTTTTTTGGTCAGAGTCTCTAAGGAAATAAAGTATTAGTTTTCAGTTACTAAATGATATTGTTTCTACCATTTACTATTCAGAACAAAGCTTGAGTTAAAACTGACTGTGAATGGAATTTTTTTGCAGTTATTTTACCTTTGCGAGAACATCTGAATGCAAACATTCAGTCCTGGTAAGTTACTATACTGTGAAAAATACAAGTTGTAGCTATCTTATCTTTTAATTATTTTTAATGTATATGTGTTTTAAATTAGGAATCCACAGCTATCCGTTCTGGAAAACCTGGAGAGTTTACTGGGACAAAAATTTCCCTCCCCCTCAACAACAAAGAAGGAGGTAGTTGGACATGTTTTCTGAAGTCACTGTTGAAAAAAAGTTAAAATGTTATTTTATAAACAATAAATATCACTTTTTTTGAAGGATTTCAGTATGGAGTGTGGCATATGTTATGCCTATCGCCTTAATGATCTGATACCAGACAAAGCCTGCGATGATTCACGGTGTGGACAGCCCTTCCACAGTTTGTGTCTGTATGAGGTGAGAAGATGGTTTTTCATGCAATTAACCAGAGCATGCCAGCCACATGAAAACTAATGTCAGATGTAACTTCACATTTGAAAATAACATGTTAACAAATAATTATCACTGTTGCAGTGAGAGTTGCAATAAATCATACCTTTTGAAGAAAAAATGTTAAAGGGAAATGGTTTGGTATTTCATTTATTTAGTGTTTATATAATAAATAGATCATAACATGGGTGCTTGGAGCTGTATGTAAAAGATTTCTCTTTGAGTGTTGAAAAATGTTAATTTCATGAGTGAGTGTAGCAAACAAGTGAAATATGTAAAATCCTCTGTTTCTTGTGTGTAATGAAGAATGTGCAATATTGATGCAAACCCATGTTAATCAAATTGTTTAAGTGTTTTATGAAATTTAAGTTGTGCACTGTTGTTCATTATTTTTTCTTGCAGTGGCTGAGAGCTTTGCCTTCTAGTCGGCAGAGTTTCAACATGGTGTTTGGAGAGTGTCCATACTGCAGCAAGGTGAGACATAATGATTCTCTTAAATAATATTTGTATGAAATATTCAGTGCTTAGCATTGCTCAGGGCAAGCAAGACATAGGTAATCTGCAGGTTAACAAATTAGTTGGTAGGTCAATGGTGTTGCATGGCCAACTGTTGGTCAGAATAAAGTTTGTTGTGTTTAACCTGAGATTACAGGGTTTTCACAGTCTTGAAAAGTCCTTGAATTTTAGGGGGAGTCCTTGAAAAGTCCTTGGATTTTTTTTTTCTTTAAAGTGTGAGCCCGGAAAGTGTTTTTCAATGCTTTTTGGTTGCCCAAGACAGAAGTTATAAATCATAGCTCAGAGAAGTTCAAGGTGATTTACTTGAAGCATTTTTTGTTTTATGCAAGAATTAGCTATTAATTTAAGACAAGTGAAATGAAAAAGTGTAGAGAAGTTGGTGGAGCAAACAGTTCAAGCCTTTAAAGTCCTATAAGAATGGACTGGGAATATGCATTTTTGTACAATCTGTGACATTACATTCCTGGTAGGGTGTCCTTGAAAATCAAATGTGGTCCTTGAAAAGTCTTTGAAAAGTCCTTAAAAAGTGGTTGCAATTTTTTGTGTGGACCCTGGTTTACTATTCTTGTTTGGGCTTTAACAAAAATAAACAAGTCACATGCATTTGTATAAGCTAAAACCCATCAATGGCCTTTATGAATTTAAAGTTGCATTTGCAAATTCACTATATATTACTTGTCATTTTTAAGTCATTCTTTTAATTTTAATGTTTCTTGTATTTCAGCCCATTACAGTCAAAATGGTGACAGGAAAATGAGAAGATGACATACTGGAAAAATTATCTCAAAATACTATTTTTTTTAAATTTCACATTAAAAAATATAAATTAATGTTGTATTGCAATAAACATTTCAGCGTACTTATTTAAGAGAAAGAGTGTTTGAATTCACTAACTGTAGAATTGCTCTATGGAATATGATTATTGCTTGTCCAGGCAAGCCTTACTTGACACTTCAAACCCAAGAGGTGAAGGGAATTTCACCATGTACACTGTAAACTAAAAAAAAAACGATTAGATGTAGAGAAAGTACAAAGGACACTGTAATGAATAAAACTGTATTCAGAGTGGTTTAGTATTCTCACACTTGCGTACAATTAAACTTTTTTTTATCAAACTAAGGTACAGTTGACAGTGTTTATGTACTGAACATTACACATAATAGTGATTCAAGTCAATTAATGTTATGTCACAAATCTACTTTCTGACAGAAACCAAAAATAAATATTAACATTTTTTTAACATCTGGTCAATTAAAAACAAGAAAACAAGACTTAAAGCAGAAATCAAAGATTGGCATGTATAGTAAGAATGAATATTGACTGAATATATTAACCGACCCTTTTATCTCGTTAAAATATTTGAACTGTATTAAAATGTATAAATAAAAATATTGATTTTGATAAAAAATATTGATGTGGTCAGTCTGCTTATTACCAAGCAAGTTAGGGAACTGGTGGTCAATGTATAAATGTAATATTGTGGACATGATGATATTCTCAATGACTCAGTTACAACTACATGTCAATTACTACCAGTTAATACCTTGTCCAGTGGTTTGCTAAATTAATCATTCAAAAAAGCAGACTTTCCACATCTTAGATTGCAGTAAGATTGATAGTTCAATTACTATCAATCAATTAACGCTACTAATATTAATTTTTACACATTTTATTTACTGTCATGAATCAAAGAAGTCATGCACGTCATTAAGGTTCTGGTCTTGGTTCTCTGTTCTGTGCTCACTCTTCTTTATCTGAGGCTCAGCAAATTCTGTGTCATCAAGTGTTTGATTATTGTTATGATCATCCAGCTCACCGCTTCCACTTTCATGGCTCGGGGGTGTGGTGATATCCCATGATTCATCTGTGAAGAATAAGTCACTTATGGGTTTAATAAACTTATAGTCAAGCCAGGACAAGTATCACTCCATAGATTCCATTTAAGATTTTATTATTGGAAAGTTGACTCCATTAGTAGTTGTAAATTTCATATTCATCTCTGCATTCCTGCTGGTGTAATTAATGAGCAATGAGTTCACACGAAATTTCTGCCAACTCAAGTTACTTAAATTTGATGTAAATGTCTTCAAAGCAATTTTATCCATTCAAAGAATTTTCAATCTGACCAAATATTGAGAAGTTGTAGCCAAAATTCACTACCCATGCAGGAGTGCAGATTTGACTTTGATACTTAAGTTCCAGCCACGACTAATGGATTCATTTGTCAAATAATCAATTCATCAATGAAATATATGGGGGTACTTGACCTGGTGTGGCTGTAAATTGTGATTGGTGATATTTATTTTCCTGTTAGCCATGATTGAGGCTTTTACATATTCAAATATGAGTGGATGATGTGAAAGAACATTAACTGTGCTTTTCAATATAACGTCTAAAGTCAGTTGCCCTTTTTACTTCTGTCAATCATTATTAGCACCATTACTACTGTACTGAACCTTGAAATACAAAACAAACTTAACATAATGGATCTGTCAGTTTATAAGGGTTATATCTACCAGACATGCTCCTCCCCACAGTGTGCAATGGCTTGCTCTTTCACGTTAGTAATAAATTTTGCTCCCACTCCTTTCCCCCTCTGGGCTCGCATCTTCCCAGAACTTATCTCAACCTGGGGCATTTAAGAGTGGGGGCTCCCAGTGAGAATTCATAACCATCATAAATGCTTCTAATTAGTAAATTAATATACCTTCCTCATCAGCATTATATGTCTCATCATGATCCACATCCAAGCCAACGACATCGTCACCGTCCTTCATTTGTTTGGCTCTTAAGCGTACTTTCTTGGCTTTCTCTTCCCTTTTCTTTTGTTTTGCTATTATTTCAGCCTGGGTTTTTTCTCTCTTTTTATCAGATGCAGCAAGCCTTTCCTCCAGCTATGCATTGATTATAGATAAAAAAAATTAGTCACAATCAAATTTTGAAGGTGTTTTAATGCAGTGTAACCAAGAACAATAATGATTTAATGTGTTAAAAAAAATGTTAAGAAAAAAAATCAAAAAACACCTTACCTCTGCTTTTTGTCTTTGGGCTTTGTCCATTTCCCTTGCTATGAGAAGTTCTGATCGTCTTTTAGACATCAGTTTAACTTTCTTCTCAAGTTCCTAGAATCAAAATGAAATTATCCTTTGAGAGAAACATGTCACAGTGACTCTACATTTTCTATTGCCGTGGTAACTGATTGCTGTGGTTACTAATTACGGCATCAAAAGGTCAGTAATAGCATCACTGTCCCACGGGTACTCTGTATTTCAAGTGATGGGGATGATCGAATGGCGGCAATAAATCAAAAAGTCCGGGACCGAAAATTAACCCCCAAAAAATCCCATGCTGAATTTCCAAGCCTTAAAATTTCCACAAAGCATTAAATGCAAATAAATTGAAGTGTTGTTTACACCCTGGGACACTTTGCAGACTATTGTTTGATAATAGTATATTAACCGGCTTTATGGAAAAGACACAGTGTAATGCATTACAGACCATTAAATATTAAAACAGCTGCAAAACAAGTTTACAGAACCACTCAGCCGAGATACATGGGCACTTACCTAACATACACCAGCAGACCACTCTGACTAGTCTGGACTCAGGTCAGAGTGCAATAAACAAAGGGCAGTGAATAATTAAACAATCTTACCTTTTGTCTGTTTTGTTCAGCGGCAGCTTGTTTCTGTTCCAGAGCTTCTCTTGTCAATACTGGTGCACTCTCAATTTTCTATAAAATTAATATGGCCAAAAGTAATTGAATAATAATTATTATACCTGAGAGAATATGCAAGTTTATACTTGGTGTAAATAATTTGTCACAAAAAAGAGAATTAATTTTACACTCTCACAGTGAGGCATGTAAAAATAAGTAACATATATATATACAATAATATCATAAAACTGCTAATATTAATTTTATTATTTTTATTTTCCATGGAAATCTATGGAGAAATTTCCATGGAATTCCATGGAAATTGATGTCCTAATCCTCCATGGAATTCCATGGAGAATTTTCCATGGAAATCCATGGAATTCCATGGAGGTTTTTCACACGGGATGTGGGCCATCTTTGGGATATCAAAAACTTACTGGCCATGAGCTTCAAGGGATTTTCTTTAGATCTGTCTAGATATCTCTTTAGATCCAAGTGAGTCTCCTATGCAGACATGGGGAAGGACTGTAAGAGGAGCCAAAAGAACCTTGGGAGCCTAGACTAATAATTGTGAAATGACAGTTTGAGATTTTTAGGTGTAACTGTAACACATGGTATATAGGTATTTACCTGTAGTCTGCGGGGTGGTCTGTTAGTCAGTGGCACCAGCTTATTATCCGAGTCACTTCTTCCTAGTACAATATCAAATGCTACAGGTTTGGATATTGGTGGCAGTGGGGAAACATGGCTTACACCTCCTGTAAAAGAAAATATTACAATCCCTTACGGAGAACATCTAGTGAATTGTTGGAATCTAAAATATAACGGGAACAGGATTCTTTGTTTGGGAATGCCCATTCCATTTAATGGAGATGCTTAATTCTCCCCTCACCTCTACACAAATATTGTATCCACTCCCACCCCACCCCCCCTGCCCTTACCTGCCCCGCCTACCACAAAAAATGTCAATTTTGCATTATACCATAGCATTGTGGATGTGAGGCAAAATTCAAAAAGAAAAGGAACAATCCACAAACTAATTAAGAAAAACCGACTTGTAGATTCTGTTCTTATTATTATTTCCACTGCATGTGCTTAGGTATAGCCGTGTGGGGGATGGGGGATGGGGGAGAGTTCTAGGCCAGGTATGTGCCACCTCGGTATCCAAATTAGGACCCCATTATCTGAGAAAGAACCCATTTGAAGGGTTTCCTAGAAAATGGATGCTTGTGAATGTTTACTAGGGACTGTAAAAATATGGCTCTAAAGGGGGGTCATAAGAAAAAACATTGGTCTTAAAGGTAGCCTGAGTATCAGGCCTTCCTAAGGAATTATGCCTGATACTCAGGCTAGTTTAAAGGGAGGTCACCAAAACATTCCTTCAAATTTTGCACTGATGGCATCTGTGATAATGCAAATAGCCTAGCAGAATGCCAAAACCCAGCATTCCTGACATTCAGAAGGTTCAGATTTTCCCGAGGAAGTACTTAGAGGCAACTCTACCCCACTAAAATGCAAAAAAGCATAAAAGCATACAAAATTGAATGGTTCATTAGGAAAAAGCAACAAATTCAGTCAGTTTTTTTCCATTTTGTTCTTTGTCCTCTTTCTCTCTCTCTCTCTTTTTCTTTTTTCTTCTTTTTTTTTGGGGGGGGGGGGGGTTTTTT